CGGTCATTCTCCTACCTGGAACTTCTGTTCACCTGGCATCCCTACCTCTACCACCTATCCCCCGTGTTACTTTCGTTTATCTTATTTTTCGGGCCATTCAGCAGTCTCTCCGCCCGACTACTGCCACCGGTTCTTTGTGAACCAGGAGAGATTCGCTGCGTTCGCGAGATACCGGAGCTTCTCCCACATACTTTTCTCAATGGAATTCGCCAACAGCTGGACCATTCCACGCAAGAAACGGACCTCCCCGCTCGTCGATCTCACGCACTTATGGCAATACGATCCCTACAAATTGGAACAGTGCCTGAACGATTTCTTTAAAGTTTAGTATTAATTAAACACATACAAGTACACTTGTAAGAAATATGTGCAATTTTTAAGAATTTAATTTTATGCATAACTTTCTCAAATAAAAGGTTTTATCACTAGAAGCGCTTTCGTCTCGTCAATTTGTGTAACGATATATATATATATATATATATATATATATATATATATATATATATATTTGAAATGAGTTTTTTTTAAATTAAAGTTCTCATAGCTATCGCAAATTAACAATTTCGCCGCTTGCCACATTTCCCATCACTGTTCCCCGATTAATCGACCATTCGTTCGAACAACTCCATCGCTTTGTTTCAATGGTATTCGACACTCGGGCATCGCTGAGTGAACTATGCTGTTTCTACGCTGAACTCCATTTCTCGCGCGTTCGCCGCGTAAATAAATGCATGCCGATCGAGCGTTAAATGTACATGCTCGAATATGCAGAGGAATGTAGTTTACGCGGAATGTTAATGAAACAATTAACCAACGTCTGCCGGCAAGCCTAGCCGTGGAATCAAAGGATAATTTCAATGTTACGAATCTCAGATTGTTTGAAAGTGTGCCTGTTTATCCTCTACGAGGATTTATGCCTCTAGCTCTGACGTACTATATATCGTGTGCAAGCACTTCTGAATGTTAGTTCGTTATGTGAAAAAAGAAACTCGAACTCGTCGGATGCTCTGTCTCTATACTGGGGAAATTTTTATTTCAAACGTGCTTGTTAATACATAAAAATTTTTACGATCCAACATCTCGTGCGGCCAACAATATTATTGTATGGCAAAGGTGAACATTTTAATATAGAAGAAAGAGTCTCTGATGTAAAGAGTTTGAACGATCATCGTAACACACGACTTATAATAAATAAGACATTTAAGATGTTGGAAATGCTTTATAAAATTTAGTATTCTAATAACGTATGAATTGGCAACTTACAGAGTCGTTCGTTAATGTTTCAGATCATTTTGAATATAACTTGAGGCATTTGTGAAACAATAATATAATAATAATGTTTGTTAATCACAAGTATCTGAGTTATCTCAAGTATACAAGTGTCACCTAATTGATACTTTTTTTCGCGTGGTAATTTATTTCAACAGTTGAAGCAGTGAATTAAATTGAGCCGCGTTGATAGGTAACGAAATTAGACCACAAAGATCTAAGCCGTCGCGTGTTTTGATACATTCGATCATACATTGAATTATGAAATTATGAAACGTAGTAGGCGTGTAGAATCATCAACGTCGACATCCTCAATATCGTAAATTGAAAGTACGTATAATTGCTAGTTTATCGAGCAACGGGTGTACTCCCCGCTAAACTGGCGCACGAGGAAGAGTAATTAAGCTTTTTTAAGACACAGTAATTGTTCCTTCCGCAACGAACGATTACTAGACTGGATACTCGTCGATGTTGCCCCGCAATGGTAACTATTGTTGCAATTGCATATGCGGAACAGACGGTGAGGTAACTGTTAGCCGTGATGCATGCGAAATTATCATACGAGCCGATTCGATACTGTGATTTTAAAGTCTCCTAGCATGCTCTCCTCGGCTCACCCACGCCAATGCGCACACTCTGTTCGCCAGGCGTTAAATCTAAATTTAATGAAGAAGCGCGACGAACGTACAAGTTTTAATAAAAAAAAGAAAAAAAGACAACCAATCAGACTTATTAAAATAGACTCATCAGAATATTAAAAGTTCCGCATTCGTCGCGTT